GTTTGGGTTACCTGCAAACTCAGCTTGAGGGAGCTATGGGTCGGGAAACTGCTGGATGAAGAAGCTGCTTCCTTGGTCAAGGCGTACGCAAAGCAGCTACGAGATCTAAGGCGTATCGTGGATCAGAGGGAAAAATTTGTCCGCACAGCCGGCCCTCACCAAGATAGTGCAACGCACTTGGTCCAAAAAAGTTCGAGCCGTACCTCATGCAATGGAGCTTGATCTCTCTCCCCTTGCACTTGTGTAGCACAGACATCGCCCCTTCTAATAGCAAGTTGCCTTCCGTATGCGGACGAGAAAACCTCCATAACCCAAGTTCAAGTCGAGGTTGAGATGGTGTCCAACTTTGCGTCGTGTCTCCCTGCATAGTGAAGCAATGGCATCCATGAGGTGCTCAAACACTGGCAAGGACCCCGCAGTAACATTGCTGTACAATTTTGATCTTACACTCCTCTCTATAAAAAGAAAGCCTAGTTTGAAAAAATGTGACAGAACTTTCCCGCCAACCTAATATTAGTTTTCGAAAGTGTGCCAAATCATCGTGCCAGGTGCGTTTTAAGTAGTCCCAACCATCTGAACGTTGGACCAGTCAATAACCATGTAGGTGTTGTTTTGAGGAGATGAAAGATTGAGCTTCGAGTCACCTGAACTGTTACCTGCAGTCATGGCTGCGTCGCGAACCCTCCCCTTCGACCACCAGTTTCAAGCCAACTGCCTTGGGGTCATAAATACCAACATGTTTGAAGAAATCATTTTCATATACCTCTTACAATCGTGGCATGATGTATATCGTTCTCTTATTTCTTCTAGCCTTTCCACATTGAGCAACTTTATTAGAAGGCCTACGTTTCGGCGTCTTCGCCTTCGTCAGAGCCTGAAATGGTCAAAAAACATTTCGAGACCTGCTCGCTCAAACATTTCAACAATACTCAAGACGATTTCCACATACCAGTAAATCACCCAACGGTATCGATCTAGGGCGGAACGCTGGCTTACCTGCCGCGTGGCGCCGGAACGACAACCCTGTAGAGGCTCAAGCGTGGAGTAAGAATTACTAGTAACCTCCCTCGACCTCTCGGTAGGTCAAAACTTGCAGAGGTCGAGAAAGGCCGCGAGTTCACGCGTTATGACCACACACTCTTCCTTGCGATTCATTTGTATTCATTTCTGGGTCCTTGGCAGTAAGCAAAAAAGCCCCTTGCGGCCTTTCTCGACCTCTGCAAGTTGTGGCCTACCGGGAGATCGGGGGAGGTTACTAGTAATTCTTACTCCACGTTCGAGCCTCTACAGGGTGGTCGTCCCGCGTCACGCGGTCGAGATCAAGGTAAGCCAGCGTTACGCCCTGGATCGATACCGTTGAGTGATTTACTAGTTTGTGGAAATTGTCTTGAGTACTGTTGAAATGTTTGAGCGAGCAGGTCTCGAAATGTTTTTTGACCATTTCAGGCTCACACGCCGAAACGTATGCCGCCAATAAAGTTCCCCAATCGTGGAAAGGCTAGAAAAAAATAAGAGAACGATGTACATTTTCATACTTTTGGTGGGGTTTCAACAAGTCTCGGTTGGAAATCATGGTGCACTGATAGTTTGTCCGAATTTCCGATTTTTGTCGACTGCGTCATGGAATCAAAAGGAAGTTGACAAGAACACAATGACGCGAGTAATGATGGACACAACAACCAACCACTGTGCAGAAATGCTATCGCTATTGTGGCACAATCCATTGAAACGGAGCCTGATAGAAGCAAAGAATAGTAAATTGAAATCATAGCTGGAATAACGATAACTCAAGCCACATAATAATATGGCACGAGTGTGACGATGCATGACCAGTCATCAGTAACGATAACAATCCCTAACTATATATAATCCGCTAAGTTTGTCTATTGTGTGTGTGGGTATGTATGTGGTTGTGATCGGGCGGAAAGATTCATAACTTCTTTCAAAAGAGTGACAGCGCTCAAACTGATAAGTCATGTAGGGGGTCGTGCAGGAACACTATTGGTGGGTGGCAGGAAGTGATAAGAGCTGATCAAGAAACGGCGAGCAACCGCGCATAGGGAGAACCACCAAATCAAGCGCCGCTCACAGCATACGATTAAACCCTGGTTTGCCAGGAATAAGTAGGCAGGGATGGGAACATTATGGTGGTGCAGGGATCGATAACAGCTGATAAGATACCATAAATAGCCTCAGAAAGAGTGGGTTACCTAATTCATAACACCGGCCAGAGCAATGACCGGACGTTGGATACAAGTAGTAAGGTAGGGGGCAGGATGGGAACATTATTGGTGGGTGGCAGGAACTGATAACCGCTGATAAGATACCAAGAGGAGCCCTTAAAGAGAGTGGGTTATCTAATTCATAACACCGGCCAGAGCAATGACCGGACGTTGGATACAAGTAGTAAGGTAGGGGGCAGGAAAGGGAACATTATTGGTGGGTGGCAGGAATGATAACAGCTGATAAGATACCGCGAGCAGCCTTATAAGGGGAGGATCACCAAATTCATAGCGCGGGCCACAGCAACGATGAGACCTTGGTTCCAGGAAGTAAAGTAGGGCAAGAGGGAATATTAGTGGGTGCAGGGAATTGATAACATGATAAGATACCATAGAGGAGCCTCAAGAAAGATGGGTTACCTACTATTCATACACGCAGGGCAGAGCAACGACCAGAGCGTTGATAAAGTAGTATGAGGGGGCAGGATGGGAAAGTATGGGTGGTGCAAGAAAACTGAATAAGCGAGCTGATTAAGATACCATAAGAGCGCTTAGACAGGAGAGGGGACACTCTAACTCACAACGTCCGCAGCAACGGACATCGTTCAGGAGCAAGATAGGGTGCAGAGCCTGGACCGATTATTGGTTTGTGGCAGGACATGATAAAATAAGATACCCCGAAAATTCACAGCAGAGTTGTTGCAACACTGTGGAACTGCTCCAGCAAGTAATTCAGGGGTGCTCAGAGAATATTAAAGGTGGGAGAAAATTCTGTCAGTGTCCGACAACCGCTTTTGGGACTTCCGTATAATGCTCACATCATCGTGGCCAAATTTCTATTCCTAGCAATATCCCTCCGTTTAGCGGTCGAAATTGCTTCCACCGCTAAACGCTCGAGTTTCACCGGAAAGGGAATTGTTGTCCAGTGAGGAATGATAAGACCCACTATGATTTCGACTTTTTTATCATCGAAATTCCTCCCACCGCTATGCTGTCCTATCCTCAACGAATGGTGCTTTCAGAAATATGATAGGCACCAAACACTGGCAAATGTTCATTAAAATGGAGAAACATGATGAAATGGGTCGTCCTCGAAACAGTGAGAATAGTCAGCGTTGGTGCTGCAGGGACAACAGTCCTGTCAGTTAGTCGGTAAGTACCGGATGGTTAACCATCGCGTCGCAGTAGTGCGCCGTCCAGGCCAGACTTTGGTAATTAAAGAATAATTCACACTATAAACTCCAACGTGTCCCGTGTCTTAACCTCGCACGATGTCGATCAGTTACTTCTATTAGCCACAGATACAAATAAAACCATAGAAGTTAAAGGCACAGTTCGCGACCGCAAATTGCGGGAAACGGAACTCAAATAGGCACAAAAAAGTGCTAAGTATCTGATTAGCGGAGAAAAGCAGCAGAAAAAGCAGTCCGAAATGTTATAGAGAAAGATAACATAGTGGCTACTAGCTAGTAGCTAGCAGCCGGTGAGGGTCGGCATGGGCCTAAGGGGTGTCCATGGGCCTAATTAGTCAGCTTCTAGCGGAGTTCTTGCCGTTTTTCACATTTTGAAAGTAGCGCAGCCTCAAAAATCGCCTTCCGGATCGTCCGACACATTTGAGAGGTCATAGCCTTATTTTATCGCGGAATGTGCCTTTAAGCAAACCGTAAATCAGAAAAGTGTACCATACACTTGGGTTTGTTTTTTGATAACTGCCTATGATAAGGCGATGTTATCACTCTACTGTATCAATAAATACTGATGCCAGTAAAATATTGTGTGTGCACATACGAGATAACAGATCTTTTCAAGAATGGAACGCTGAGGTATGATGTCGAAAAAGTGAATACCTTGGTTCGAAAACGATTCGGTAATGTGAAATTTCGCGATCAGGTGTGTTACAATTTCAATGCTACTTTCTTCTTACTCTTTTTCTTCTTCTTGTTATTGATAATTTGAACCCTGTTTTCCCTTTTCTCCTTCTTTTTTTGCCTAGCCGTCACATGGTCCGCTAAACCTAGACTCGCTCCTACTTTCCCACCTTTTGCGATAACCTAACCGTGCGACGTTTCTCGATGACCTCCGCCACCATTTCTTTGAGGAATTTTGCCATTGCCTGCTTCGGGCTTAAAAATCCAGTGCTTCTATTATCGAATAGCTCTCAGGCACTTCTGTGCCATATTACCGCAGTCACTGCTTCCTGTTCATTCAAACAAGCGCCCTCAGATCTATGTGCGTCTCTGACACTACAAATTTGGATCAACCAGAATTCCACTATCGGTATTCTCATCTCATCAGCCTTTCATGGATTTTGTCTGTGGGTCAGGATGGAAGGCTTTACCACCCTTTTTACGATCCCAATAAATGATTGAAGAATATGCAGGTATATCCCTCTGATGCTACTATTTCTTTCCATCGCCACTCATGGATGTACTGGCCGCAATACCACAAACTCCTGCATTTTTGAAAGCTAGTGCAGTTTCAATGACTGAAAGAGGACATAAGCTTATCCAAGTGAAAATAACTCTGCTTGGTTCTCGATTTTGACGGTTTTGATATGCATCAGGAGTCGCAAAGTGTACTGTTACTCTAGAAGCTCGCCGTTCTGAACTATACGATTGTGCCAATAGAAAACATATGTAAGCGAGTACAGTACGTGGTGATTGTGCATGTGCGACCGAACGATTTGGATGCGCGAAACCAATGGCGAAGAACTTACGGTCGACTGCAGAAGGAGGTTAGTTCCTGAGTGCCTTTTTGAGACTGCTATTAGTAAACTGCCTCAGCATTTCCACTGCAAGCTATT